GTTAATTATAACTTTACAAAAAATTGGGCTAATTATAGCCACTTACAATTGATTTTGACGAGTGTTCATACTTTAAAAACGTACATGATAATTTTATTATCAATGCTATTGAAAAATATATTTTTTAATATGAGTAATATGGTTATCTTTCATCTATTAATCACTGTGCAATTTAGTTTTCACAATTTTTGTTGCTAAAAATGTTTTTCCGACAGTGACAATTGCAATTGATAATACCAACGTCATAGTCACCAATAAATAAACTAATGGATGGACCACAACTTTTGCATTCTCAACCATTTTGAGTAAGATTACCATTCATTAAGGTATGGACTTTATTTGTTTAGCTTTAGCTTAAGACTTCATATCTTTTGTATGGGCCTAATTTGTATTTTTATTTATTATTTTTTTTTTGCATCAAGGGTGGGCCTCAATTCAATAAAACTAAAAATAAAAATAAAAATATTAAAGTTAAATTTATTTTTCTGGGTGGGCCTGTTCCCCCCTTAACCCCTTACGGCCTCCACTTATGCCTACGTTCTAGGGCGTGTTTGGCTGGTCATTTAAAAGGGTTTAAATTGACTTATTCAAATTTTTTTAAATTTAAATTCTTATTTATAAAGATGTGATTCAACATTAAATTCGGTTCATACTCATTTTTATTATGTAACACATAAATATGTAATACCTATGAATATATCATAATTATTAATAATTATTTGTCTTATATATGACTATTTTACAGTTGATCAATCTAATTCATACTCATGTTAAAGGGTACAATTGTCTTTTATATTCTTAATCCCTTAATCAATCTTTCCAAACCCACCTCCTCCCTAGGTTTGACGAAACTCATGATCATGAGTTTAATATTTGGGCTAGCTGCGGACTGGGTTTGAGAATTCAGAATTGAATTTTTAATCCAAACATGGAGTTTGGGGGTCCATTAGATTATTTTCCCTAAACACATCTTACCAAGCTCCCCATACCTCTTTACCGAACAATCACTAAATGCAGCTCGTGGCATTTAGGGGTGTTCACCCCTACCATACGGGTTAGAAATATGGTCTTTCATTCTACCCAATATTTTACAGAAGAATTTTTTTTTGGTCTACCAAATCAGATCAAGTGTAGTATTCCTACCCGACATCCGATCAGATTAATCGAGTAGGAAATCGGGTGAACACTTTTGTAGTTATTAATTTTTAGATCATTTTAGTAATTCAATTAAATAGCGTGCATCAATTTAACAACGTAATAAACCAGTAACACTAAAATTTAAAACAATTACAATAAAAACACAAGAAAGTATAAACATCAATCTATCATAATTGTTACACAAATAAAATTATAATTATTTTAAATTTTAACCATATAGTTAGGGAATTAGATTTTTTAGTTTATATATATATATAAATTAATGCGGGTAGGATAGAATAGAAATACGAAAATTAATGGTTATTTCGCATTCCTACTTGATTTAATCGAAAAACCAAAAATTCTTCCGTATTTCTATCCAATTTTTTCAGCTAGCCATTCAATAGAGTTGCATAGAATAAAAAATTGCGGCTAATTAAAAATTTGAAGACCTCCAGTGGCATTCATGTTTGGATGAGGCTCCTCTACACTGGTACTATCATATTTTCTGTCTAATTAGCTTCTGAACTTGTGTTTCAGTGGGTTCAATAAGCTGCTTTGAAGTTTGAAGAGTAGGCACATTAGGTGATGACCTTTTTGGGCTTTAGGAGATGACCCATTGTTATTCTTCTTTTAGGCCTAGGTAATGTAGGTCTTAAAAAATAGAGTAAATTTTATTTACACTCACGTACATAGGCCTAACTTTAAAAACATCTTTTTTATTTTTTAAAATTTCACTAACACCATCTTCCTTTTTTAAAATTTTACTAACACCCTTTGTCAATTTTTTGTTTGGTGACAGTATTAACAAAGGTAGTTTTTTACATTTTTGCCCATAAAAATTTCATGTATCTACCAAAATATATAACAACCATCTAACTATATATATAATTTTCTTCTGGCATCATTCCGGTATCAAATAATGCACCCCTCTCTCTTCCCCTCCCTCCTTCTCTTGTAATAGAAATCAACCATTTAGCTAACATCCTGTGTGTTCTCTCTGCATCTCTTTTTGCTCCCTCAACTTTCTCTCTCAATCAAATTGACATGTAGAAATTCATATGCGAGTGAATTCAAAGACATATGCAGGATCATTTTCAAGTTCAAATTTGAAGTACTCGTTCAACATATCTACATTATGACCCTCCAATTTTTGCCTCATATCTCGCTCATAGTTTCTGATATCTCTTTTTGTACATCCAACATTTTGAAATCCTCCTGTTTGTGCCTCAAAAATATCAAATTGTTGATGCGTTGGAATGTTTACAGTTGCAAATTATTGTGTCAATACCTTCTTTCCATCTGAAACCTTTCAGTGTGACCTTAACAAGTGTATTTTAGTAGGTTTTATAAAGGGATGGTTGTGGCACTCGATAAATTTAGTGATTCTGTATTTCAACCCATGTTGAACAACAGATAAGTTTGCTTTACAACCTTCACGTATTTTTCCTCATAGCCTTTCTACATTACTGGAATCTATTCCTATATTCTGATTCAAATTTCTTTCCTTTTCTTTTTTCCCGTTTGTGAGTCTCATTTGTTTCTCTTTTCTTATAACAAACATATTGTTTCCAATAAGTTTCGTCATTTCCCTTCTTTTTACTTTTGTCTATCCTTACACTAAAATCAGCTTCTCGTGCATAGGAGTTGTAAAATTTATGAGTCACCCAATGAATTGAATTCCAGGCCTTCTTTTGGTTTCTTCTCACATGAAACTTGAGGAATGTAAATTTCAGCTGTATTTTCCACCATAACATCTTCTACAACATCCATTCCAACTTCTAATAAGTATAGACCTAACATAAAAATGAATTTTCTTAGCAATCAAATGCAATATAAAATATACTAATAGAATAAAAACCCATATTACCAAATGCAGTTATAAATAAAGATTAAAAATTTTACCTCAAGTGTATTACTCTTCAAAATAATTATTTGCCTCATAGAAGATAGGGGAAAGAGTGTATATAAGAGAAATATATAATGAAATAGTGCTCCCTAGAGGAACAAAGATGAACGGGAGGAGTTATTGACGAGTGTATCTTACTTTGGCGTGGAAGCTTTAGTCTATAGTAAATGGCTTTGCCTCTTGGATGAGATCAAACATTTTTTTCAATTAATTTTTACGTGGAGGCAAAAATGAGAGAGTCGTCCAAAAATAAAAAGGTGTTAGAAAAGTGAATTTTTTAGTAGTCATTATAGACAAAGAAAGATGAGAGAAGGGAAAAATCGAAAAAGTGAGAGAACGAGAGAAAAAGAACATAGAGAGAGAGAGAATTGCTGACTACATTTAATGAGAGAAAGAAATGGTCGTGAGATTCTCAAAATGTTAATTTTTTAATATTTAATTAACAATTCATTTTTTACCATTGGATCTCATCTGACGGTACACGACCCATGCGCCGANTTCCTCATAGCCTTTCTACATTACTGGAATCTATTCCTATATTCTGATTCAAATTTCTTTCCTTTTCTTTTTTCCCGTTTGTGAGTCTCATTTGTTTCTCTTTTCTTATAACAAACATATTGTTTCCAATAAGTTTCGTCATTTCCCTTCTTTTTACTTTTGTCTATCCTTACACTAAAATCAGCTTCTCGTGCATAGGAGTTGTAAAATTTATGAGTCACCCAATGAATTGAATTCCAGGCCTTCTTTTGGTTTCTTCTCACATGAAACTTGAGGAATGTAAATTTCAGCTGTATTTTCCACCATAACATCTTCTACAACATCCATTCCAACTTCTAATAAGTATAGACCTAACATAAAAATGAATTTTCTTAGCAATCAAATGCAATATAAAATATACTAATAGAATAAAAACCCATATTACCAAATGCAGTTATAAATAAAGATTAAAAATTTTACCTCAAGTGTATTACTCTTCAAAATAATTATTTGCCTCATAGAAGATAGGGGAAAGAGTGTATATAAGAGAAATATATAATGAAATAGTGCTCCCTAGAGGAACAAAGATGAACGGGAGGAGTTATTGACGAGTGTATCTTACTTTGGCGTGGAAGCTTTAGTCTATAGTAAATGGCTTTGCCTCTTGGATGAGATCAAACATTTTTTTCAATTAATTTTTACGTGGAGGCAAAAATGAGAGAGTCGTCCAAAAATAAAAAGGTGTTAGAAAAGTGAATTTTTTAGTAGTCATTATAGACAAAGAAAGATGAGAGAAGGGAAAAATCGAAAAAGTGAGAGAACGAGAGAAAAAGAACATAGAGAGAGAGAGAATTGCTGACTACATTTAATGAGAGAAAGAAATGGTCGTGAGATTCTCAAAATGTTAATTTTTTAATATTTAATTAACAATTCATTTTTTACCATTGGATCTCATCTGACGGTACACGACCCATGCGCCGATGGACTTAAATACACGATGATGTATGCTTGAACATTACTGCATATATATATATATAATCAATCCTATTGTCTTGGATTAATGGTATAAGTAGTCTGATCATATAAATTCTAAATTTTGGTATATTTAAGTTCTTTCACATATAATAATCTTTATACATGTCTGCTCCGACGCTAGTCAAATGTCTAGAAACTTTCAGAACTATGGCTTTCTCTTTCTTTTGTCTATTTTATGGTACTTTTGACTCCTGAATTGTGCATTGCTATTTGCCTGGCTACCCATATGCAAACAGATGCGCATGCGGAGGCTTCTGCATGTTTGTGTGTGTGAGAGAGAGAGGGTTTAATTTACATATATATTGAGTTTATTGGCAATCACTACAAGTAAATATTTTATGACTTATACGTTACACCGTTTAAAGGATAATTCAGACCAATCACCAATATGAAACGAAATTCACCATACATACAACATATAAGGGACTCTATTCACACATGTCTATGCATTTGGCTCTGCAATTTTGGTTTGAAAAGAATGCCCAACACCGGGGCTGTGGTCTGGATAGGTTGGTGGGAAATCGTCAGTGTTTCCAGCAACAGAATGATCGACACCTGGAGCATTTCCTAGTGCTTTTGGCTTAGTATCAATATCACCATGTCCAGTGAAAGCATGACCTTCACCGGGGCTACTACCTGACCTCGTCGGTCGAAAATCATCCTTAAAAACTGCTGCTGAGGAGCCAAATCCAAGATTTTTAGTAGTTTCTACTGGTGGGGAAGCTTCTTTCTTTGATGTTAAGTCCCTACCCTCGGTAAATAGAGTTTCATGGCAGGCAATTACTGCAAGAAGGAAAGCACAGTAACAGATAGTTTGGAGTTTGGCCATGGGAAAAGCTAATAAAGTTACTCGAATAGTTTATTGAATCAGGAGAAGGAGAGAGGGAGAGAGAGAGAGATGCAATTAAGCAAGCAAGGTGCTCAAAGCTCATTGTAAACCTTCGATATTTATAGGAATGTGAAGCTTCTTGAAATCTTTGGTCATTAACAGTGGGAGATAAATCTAAAGAGAGAACCTATTGTACTATCATCAATAGATTTAAAGTAACTCTGATAGCGTAATTGATAATAGGAATGAGTCGTAAATTTAAATATTTTGAATTTTAATTTTAGTAAGTCTTAAAAGTTAGATCATAAGAGATTTATTCATTATGAATATCTTAATTTTAGTGTGAATGATCTCTTATTAACTGGACTAAGAAGAAGATTAGTCAAATGCATATAAATTGATCCAAACATTCCTGACCATTTGAAAAAACAAAAAAAATAAAATTATAGTGGGTCTTGAAATAAAATGGGTCTAACTATCAATTTAATTATACTAATATATTAGATTCTTAAATTAAGTATTCAAATAAGTAAAAAGTAATATTATTTTAGAGAATTATACGGACGGTGGAGTTTTATAGTATATCTCTGGAACCATGGATATGTTAGTGCATGGCTTCCGATGGCTAGTGGCCCACAATAAGACTTTCAGCAGCTTGTCAGTAGCTAGCAAGCCCATGCAACGTTCACAAGGAGGACAGCATGCAAAGATCTTATCAGTTAAAAGTCGGTTAAATTAACATATGCACTGCTATGTACATATAAATTTGGATGGTCTCTTTATGCCTAGATATGTGCATTAGGGGTGTAATTCGGACGGATAAAAAAATTAATCTTAGTTCAACCCTAAATATATAATCTTTAATTCTAATCATAACTCTGCCTCAACCCGAGATACTCAATCCATGTATTACCCGATTTTAATTTGGGCAAGTTCAGATTGAATTCGGGTTACTTAATGCGGGCTAATTTTGGATTAAAAATCGGGTTGACTTGAGTTACTTAATTCGAGTTAATTTTTTGAAGGGTAGATTTGACTTGTTTAAGTGTAGATCTGATTTTTTTCAAGTGATCTACAATGAAGGGGCGAAATGCAGATGAAGAGAAAGGGAGTGAGAGAAGGAGGAATAACGAGTGAGAGAGAGGGGTTGAGAGTCTGAGACGACTTAGATGAGTGACGATTAAAAGAGGGAGGCTGAGAGAGAAACAAGTGACAAATGAGAGAAGGATTTGAGAATGATAGAGATGCTGGAGTGAAGACTTAAAGTAAAGTGAAAATTTTGATTCTAAAAGTGAAAATAAATATTAACTCTAGTTAAATATATTTATATATTTATGTATATTCGGATTCAACCCTATTTTAATATTCGGGTTTAACCTTACAACCCGAGACTTGCCCAAATTCAATTCGGATTGAAGTTTTTTTGTTCAGACTCAACCCAATTATTAAAAATTCTAATACAAGCCCTGTTTTTTTTTCAGGTTGGTCTCGGTTTGAATTCAGGTTAACCCGCCCAAGTTGCACACCTAATGTGCACGTATGTTCATCCAAATTTTTACTTCATTTTAAACATCAAATGAAATAGTGTATAAGTATTGATATTTGAACTTAATTTATTAACCTAATTCAATATCGTCGTTACATTTTTTTGATCAAACTACAACCACTCACACTAATAATGTGAGGGCTATAGTAGGCATATAAACACACACACACACTCCCTAAGGCTATCCGATTTGAGATAGTCTCAGCCCCTACCCTCCCAGGCACTGTGACCCCAGAGACACCTGTCTCAAAGAGGAATGCTGCCGAGTCCACCATCAAACGCCCCACTAGACACATGGTTTCTGATTTTTTTTTTTTATTGTGGGTTCCTTCAAACATTGAAACTTGATATTAATCAAATGGTTATAGTGAAACTACTAATTCATTATTCAAAATTTTCACAAACAGTAAACTATGAAAGTATTAAAAATTTGAATTGAGAAATATATATTATTTATGATTAATCATAATTTTTTAAGCTATAACGTTAATTCGTTCAAATTATAAATTCCTGTTTTCACTCATATGAGATTGAATTATAAATTAACCAATTGAGTTAAAAAAAGAACTCCAAATTTGGATTGTATATATCATTTAAGCTCCCATTAAAAGATGCATTTAGTTCCAAATCTATTGTTGTCTCCAATTTCTTTGGCATTTTACCTCATTTTATGTAGTTTATCATATATATATATATATATATATATTGTCTAAAAGTGAATGCCACCAACGGCTAGTGCACATGTGTACTTTATAAAAAAATTAATTTTCTTTAGAAAATGAGTAATGTTACATAGGCTTAAAAACTAGACTTAATTATTACAGTCATTGGTTTCACTATAGGTCTCAACATTTATTGAAACTCACTATCTATTCAATATTTGTTATTATTAAGTCTACTTTTTAAGTTCATGTAGCATTATTATTAAAGAATATATTATGTCCGGTTTACCTGTTCAACTCAATGTGTCCAAAAAACCGATGGACAGTTGAGACTGTTGGGATTTAACACATTTTAAATCTACAGACAAACACACACAATCGAAGAAAAAACATAAAGTAATAAATAAGAAAGAACAAGACACAAAAATAGCAATTTTTATATGTACTGCGTATTGGCCCAAGCCTTCGCTGCATGGACTAAATCTCAGAAAATTTTTCATTAAAAATCACGCAATATTATTTCGGGTCGGGTCATCATCCGAATCAACACTCAAACTAGACTCCACAAAAGCTCAACATTTTATCCCACTTGGAGACTAATTTAAACACCAACATCAACCGCAATTCTCCCAAAAATAATCTATCATCCCTGCAGCTCATCCTCCTGTCCTAAAGCTGAGAAACCCACAGAAGCTGAACAAAGCTTCAACTTCCCCACAATAACCACTTTTGTAAACATATCTGTCGGATTATCCCTTGTGTAAATCTTCTCCGAAGTGAACTGCTCATCCTCCAACAAAAAGCGAATAAAGTGATACTTTATGTCAATATGCTTGGTCCTCGAATGAAAGGCTGCATTTTCACCAGATATATCGCACTATGTCTATCGCTGAACAATTTAGAATTGTCTTGCTCCTTATCCAACTCTTTCATGAAGCTCCTCAACCATACCATCTCTTGCATGCCTCCGTGACTGCAACATACTCCGCCTCTATTGTCGAAATAGTCACTATTTTTTGTAGCCTTGAGACCCAATTGACTGCTGCACTGCCTAATGTAAAAACATACCCTGTAGTGCTCTTCCTAGTGTCAATGTCCCCTGCTAAATCAGAATCTACAAAACCTTGCAAACAAACATCAAAACCCCCAAAACTAAAAGCCAAATCTAAAGTACCTTTCAAGTAGCATAGAATCCTCTTGACTGCTTCCCAATACTCCTTGCCTGGATTGCCATGAAGCTACTGAAAACTCCCATTGTAAGAGCAATATCTGGCCTTGTATTAACTATGGCATACATCAAACTAGCTGCCGCCGAGGCATATGGAACATTTGTCATATAGTTCTGCTCTTCATCTTTTGCTGCACACTTTTCCTTTGAAAGCTTGAAGTGACTTTCCAAAGGTGTGCTAACTGGTTTAGCACTCTCTATGTTGAACCTTTTCTGCACCTTTTCAACATACTCCTCTTGTAACAACTTCAACTTCATGTTTGTCTTGTTCATTCTAATTCTTATCCCAATAATTTTCTTCACAGAGCCCAAATCCTTCATTGTAAATTCCTTTGACAGTTGTGCCTTGAGATTAACAATCTCATTCATGCTTGAACCTGTAATAAGCATATCATCTACATACAACAAAAGTATGAGATATGACGTACCAAACTTCTTAATATAACAACAATGGTCCCCATGACAGCTACTAAATCCCGTAGCTGCCATAAATATATCAAACTTTTTATACCATTGCCTCGGAGCCTATTTCAATCCATACAGACTCTTCCTTAACTTGCACACCTGATTCGTCTAATCTTTTATAACATAATCCTTTATCTGATACATATAAATGTCCTCCTCTAAATTCCTATGAAGGAAAGCAGTTTTAACATCCAACTGCTCTAAATACAAGTTCTCAATATCCACAATATTAATGACGCATCTGATAGTAGAAATCTTAACAACAGGAGAAAAGATTTCAGTATAGTTTATACCTTTTTTGTGCTCAAAACCTTTGACTACCAACCTTGCCTTGTACTGTTTGCTCCCATCAAATTCTTCCTTAATCCTGTAAACCCACTTGTTGTGCAAAGCTCTCTTCCCCTTGGGCAATTCAACCAATTCTCAAGTCTAATTTGATGAGAAAGAATCCATCTCATCATCCATCGCATGCTCCCACTCCTTTTTGGACTCAACCTACAACGCTTTCTCAAAACATTCTGGTTCATCGCTATTAGTTAACAACAGATAAATACAAAGATGGAGAATAATGTGCTGGAGGTTTTATCGTACATGTAGTCCTTCTAGGAAGAGGAGTCTGTGGATCTGCTAGTGGAGTAAATTGTGTATTAGTACCCTGAGGCTCTAAGACATTTCTATTAGGGATCCCCTCAAACTCTACAAAGTCTGATTTTATCTCAGTCTCCTTGGGTTGACTTAGTCTGTTTCTATACAAAACTAACTCATTAAATCTCACATTAATACTCCTGCGTGTTTTTCGATTCTCAAAATCATACAACCTATATCCATAGCTATTAGTATCATAACCTATGAACACGCGCTTACGAGACTTAGCATCAAGCTTATCACTATCCTCCAATTCTAGATGCATATAGGCAATGCAACCAAAAAACTCGTAAATGAGATAAACTTATCTCTTTGCTTGTCCAAGCCTCCTCTGAAAATCCACAATTCAACAGAACGGAAGGTCCCCTATTGATCAAATACACAGTAGTATTTACTACATCAGCTCAGAATTGCTTAGGTAACCCAGCATGTAATCTCATGCTCCTTGCATGCTCTAGGATCGTCATGTTCATAAGCTCAGCAACTCCATTCTGCCTTGGCTTCTTCGGGACCGTTTTTAACCTTTGAATCTCATTCGTAGCACAATAAGCCTCAAACTCACTACTACAATACTCACCACCATTATTTGATTTTAGGCACTTCAATTTCA